CCTCCGTTCTACCCCCGCCCCGATAAATATCGACCGGTTCCCGAAAACTGCTTTCCTCCCGTCTCTTCTCCCACGCGCCACCATGCGTTACGCATAGGTCGCCTTACCAGCCTTGCGTGACGATTAATCACCGCTTTGTACAACGAAACCTCATTGTTACATATTCAAAATTTACTGAGATGCACTTCATCTCAAAAATTCCAATAATGCGACTTCGAATACATTGTTTAGGACGAAGTTGATGAAAATCTTGAAGTGTCATCTTTGAGTAAACAATCCTTGGACAACATGCACATGCGAGAAGCCCGACGAGTACTTCAACACTTTCAAAGCATTCAATAAGTTTAGAATAATAACAACCAATGAAACGAAATTCGCGATCTAAAATGACGATCAGTTTATCCTAAAAGCTGTGTCATAATAGCATCCCACATCAATTGTGAACTGGTCGCAACAATAAAGAAATTTTAGAAGCACTTTGGGAATGGTAGTGAAGTTAACCCCATGATATATAGTGCATACCCCCGCAACAAACAGTCTATGAACTTCATGAATGACACTTTCTCTTTCTACATAAAAAATCCTCTAAAAGCCATTTTTAGAAGGCGAATAGAAAACGTAAATAAGCGAATAAACAAATAAATCTCTTGTGCCAACACCGTCTAAGCGCGTGCAAACCTAGTCGTGAGAACTAGCTTTCGCGAGGCTACTATCACCCCGGCTAGTAACCTCAATTTCGGCAGTTTCGCTGCCAAACTTGAGCGTCCTTTAGCACTATTGAATTCATTTATCACGATGTTTTCCCATCCTCTTTTTTATAGTACAATAAAACAGCTGTTTGCCATTAAGTAGGGCTGTTCCGGAATCAATATTTTATCTTAGTCGGACGAAGGTCTTAATTACATTTCAGGGATGCTCCGTTTCACCTGCAAGTTCACTTACCCACAATCGCATAATTCGCAGACACATCGCAGCCCTTTATCTTTCAATAGTTTTTCCGTTTCGGCTGTATACATCCTTGGCGCGGTCATTCTGCCCTTTTGTTCCTCAAAATCTGAATGAAACACAGCGTAAATTAGCGTGGACCATAAAGCTCTTGAACGACTCGCCTTCGGAGGAACTAGTCCAAAATTCGTGACTTTTCGCAGAATCGTTCGCTATAGAACAATCGTTTTCTTAAAGTTATAAAGCTAAACAAAACAGGTCTTTCTACCTTCAAATAGATCAGCAATAAATTGCTTACATCAGTGATCTGCTCGAGAAAATTGGTAAAAATCTTGTCTTGAAGTGCGATCGAGTGTTGTGAGTCTGCTGTGCCTTGCTATCACCATTGACAACCACTTCACTTGATGTGAATAATATCCCCGGGGCTTATTCCCTTGTGTACACTAAACGACACGATAACTCTTTTTGATTGGATATTGGGCCTGGCTTTTTGTTAATGCGTCATCATGGAATATGATATAAGTCAACAATTTCCTTCAAATAACAATTGACTCTGTCCGATAAATTGTCGGTAATGTTCGTAAAGATTCGTATATTTCCGTAACGAAAGACGCAGGGACCCGAAGATAAGTCACATGGTACGTATGTTTTCCCGCTCAAGATCAACTCTTGATGGCGGAAAGGCAACACAGACTTGTGAGCGTAAAAATGTCAGCGGGCGAATGAATTTCAGGGTCTAAATAGGAACGACATTTCGGCATAATTCGTGATAAGAATTCGAGTGCAATGAATCTTTTAACTTCATCAACAATTCGGTTGATTGCCAGTTCGCAGGTAATTACCTCCGTTAGCTCAGTTGTGAAAGAACTGATCGAGAATTCTCTCGATGCAGGGGCCTCGAACATTGAAATCAAACTGGTAAGATTTGGTTTTTTGGCTCAATTTTGCTTGAAATTTTCAATTTTTTTCCGACAACAGGAATTTTATGTTGAATGCGGATTTGTTTTTCAGATCATGATCAATTTGCTACTTGTAGCTACATGTAAATATTTAAGTCAATCTGCATGTTCTCCGGGGAAGTTAACTAATTAAGAGTTTTTACTGCTCGCGACGAGGGTCAGTTTGTGGATTTGTGAGTTTTATTGTGGATTGCAACTATATTCTCCAGAGGAAAAACTAGGAGTTGACAATCTTTCCTTGTTACCCTCAAAGGTGTTTGAGTGCCTTGCAGCTGTTTTGACAGGGGTAAACTGAAAAAAAAGGGGATCCATGTTATACACATTTGCTTTAACAACAACTTTACTTAAGATTTCCATTGAAAAGGATAATCACCTACAAAACAAAAAATTTTACCAGTAGTTCTTACTTTACCTATTTTCAGGATGGATGGGGTCTAGAAAGAATTGAAGTTCGAGATAATGGTTGCGGTATTAAATGTGATGATGACCCTTATATGGCCCAGCCCCATTATACATCAAAAATATTGACTGACAATGACTTGAAATCTCTACAAACCTACGGTTTCCGTGGTGAAGCCCTAGCGTCACTGTCATCTGTCAGCAATGTGTCTATATTAACCAAAACGGAAACTGAAGAAGTTGGTGTGTTGTACACATTGGAACGTGACGGGAAGATTGTAGCCACCAAACCAAAACCTACAACAACGGGGACAACAGTTTTAGCTACAAATTTATTTAAAAACCTCCCAGTGAGAAAACAGTTTTTAAGCAACACCAAAAAATGTAAAGAAGAGTTGAAAAGAGTGGAAGACTTGGTGATGGCGTATGCACTCATTCGTCCCTCTCTGAGAATCATTTTGCGGCACAACAGGACGGTTGTTTGGCAAAAGAGTAAAGTTGCAGATGAGCGAACAGCGTTATTGACAGTGTTTGGAATGTCTTTGTTGGCACAAATGGGTTCAGTTGAGTATCACGATGATAAAGAGAATGGCATTCATATACTTGGATACCTTCCCAGGCCAGGATCTGATATGGAGTTTACTGGGCGTGCAGTGAATGACCGATGTTTTATATTTTTTAATGGAAGGCCTGTTAATATGAAACAGATATCTCAGGTACATGTACCTTTATTGCTTGATATTGTATGAGAAAGTCTTTGAATCATCGTACACTGGGTAATTGGATGGTTCAGCTTTAAGTACTTTGTGGACCCATTATGATCTGCTCTTAGGCAAGAAACTTAAATCTTATACTGCTTTTCCCTGCCAAGGAGTGTGAATAGCTTAGTTTGTATCAGGGAACTTTCTGGGGAAGTAGTTCTATATGCATACCTTACTAACCCTAAAACACCCTAAAATCAGTATGCATATTCTCCATACTATTCTCTATACATTTCCTAAGGTGCTGACAAGGAGAATTTGTTTAATAATCAAGAGCTTCTTTTGTTGGTGATCATTTCCTTTATTCTCATGACCTTAATGTGTGATTCAGGGGGGTATTCTAAGGAGAAAATAGATACTAGTTGCTCTCAGGGCTCAAAAGATTAATAGGGATCTCAAGCAAACCACAATGGCAATGGCAATGAAGATGTGGCAAAACAATGGATCTAATTGGGAGAATAATACCTCGGCACGTACATTTTAAAACTGTACATTTCTAAGCTGTCTCCCACCAAACAACAATGTGAAATCACCAAAGTTTACATTGTCTGGGAATGGAAACACTGACAACAAATTATTCAAGTTTAAATTTGGAACTTAACCCCACTCATAATTATATGTGATGCTGAAGTTGAGGTATGGCACTGCAAGAGATTGTAAACACATCGAGCCATACACAAAATTCTTACTATAAATTAAAATTTATTAATTTTATGTTTTTGATCACAGTTGGTCAAGCAGTACTACAATAGGCAAGCACCTGTTACATCAAACAGATATCCTGTTGCTTTCCTAAGTATCACAATACCTCCTGAAGGTCTTGACGTCAATCTGGAACCCAACAAAACTAGAGTGATGCTGACAAACCAAGATGAACTAATGACAGTTTTGATAAAGCTGTTAGATGATTTTTATGCAGAGGAGAAGAACAAGCTCCCTGCAGCTCAAAATCATGGTTGTGATGTTGCTGCTGGTAAACTTGGTGACATTACCAACACTTGTAGCTTGGACTGGGAGAGTGGTAAAAACAGTCAACAAGGAACAGGTGCACTAGTGGAGAGCAACATTTTACATAATAACATGCTAAGCAAGGAGCACAAAATTGACAATAACCATAGTGAGCAAGCAAATGGTAGGGATACAATTTGCAGTAAAATCCCCACAAGTACTTCAAGCAAGGAGAAAGATTTGCTGATAGAAGAATTGTCTTGCCACAAAGGAAAAAGTCTAAACAGCCAAGAGAAAGATGCACTTAAATCTCCAACTCAGGCAACAAAGAATGCAGAATTGGTATATGATGTTCCTGTTTTCAGGAATACAGATGTAGCCAGTTTGAATGAAAAAGACTCATTCCAGTCAAATAATTTGAAGTCGAAAGCACTCTTTGAATCATTAAGTGACAAGGCCATTGATGAAATCAATGAATCAGTAGATGACCCAAATGCAGCTGATAAGGAGAAAATACTGGGAAAAAGTCAGGAATTATCTGGAAATAAAAGTTTGACATCTACTGCTGCCAACAGTTTCCCTGTCAGGAATTTGTTTTCACTTAATCTGGATGATTTGTTTGAAGATTCTGGGTTAGAGACCAGTGGTGTCACCTCCAACTTAAATATATCAAGTCCATCCAATGATGTTTACACTGTCAAGAAGTCTAATCTACCTAATGTGCCATCCACTGTGAGGCAAGAGGGAACAACATGTGGTGAGGAAACCTCTAAGGGACATTCATCTGACCATTCTGAGGTGCACTGTACAGACAAGGCATGGAGCATGGGAGGTGGAATTGTTGACAAGCAAGGAAATCCTGTGCAGGTAGAAATAATTTGTAACATACATGTAGTTACATTGGTTCTTTAAAAGCACTTACAGCATCAATGGTATACAAGAAAATCTACCCAATTTCTAGAGAGATCAGTGGGGGAAGGGAGGGAGGGGGAGGGATTCTTATTTAACCCTCACCCTAATTAGGATCAAAGCGAGTGATTCTCCCCACTCTCTTTTACATGTAGAGCTGAGTGCAGTAAAATATGCAAGTCTGTGAAATCATTCACATTCACAGACTGAATTCTGAAGAGTGTATAAACCCTAACCCAATTTTAGACCCAAATGGTAAAATATTTTCCCAATTTCAAACCATGGGGGTCAGACTGCATCACGATAGCAGTTTTTTTATGTTGCAATACTTACATGAATATATTTCATCCTATAGAGTCTTAAATGGAGTAATCCACACTCCTCAACCTTCCTCCATTTAGTTCTGTCATTTTTCAGGTAAAGCCATGATCCCCATTGTTGAAACAAATATCTTATTAGACGTTCTGTTGTGTAGTCTTGCTGAGTATTTTACGAGTTGTGCCGAATAAAAATACTCAGTGATACTACACAACAAAACATGTAATAAGTTATTTATTATCCAACACACCAAATTGTTATTTCGGTGTGGGCGAATTTCGCAGATATTTATTTATGGGGAGTGCGTGACAGAGGTATGCAAAGTGGAACAGAATTGGCACGTTGTCATGTTGCTGTTTCTATTTTCTTCAATAAATGAAGAAATTTCCTGGTTGTCTAGCTGTTTTTCTTCGTTCAATTCATCTAATAAACTTGGATCTACATTTGTCAGCCATTCAAACTCTTCATCGTCAGAAATATGACTCAAATTGTCCACCATTTTTTTTTCGTAACTTCAATCCAATACTTCACTTGTGCAATGTGAGACAACCTGTCTAAACAGTTCCCTGGAGTACAAATACAGTGTGATATTTGAACTCGTCTTTGGTGTTATTTGTACTCTACAGAGTGTAGTTGGATAATAAATATATCTCATTAGGCGTTTTGTTGTGTAATATCGCTGAGTATTTTTATGAGTTGTGCTGTATTTTGACGAGCCTGTAGGGCGAGTCAAAATACAAATAACGAGTAAAAATATTAAGCGATACTACACAACAAAACGTCTAATAAGAGATTTATTGTCTAACACGCCAAATTATTATTTCAGTGCGGGCGAATTTTGCGGATATTTCTGGAGTTCAAATATTGGATGATATTTGTACTCGTCTCGCATGTTTTTTGTACTCTGTGAAGCACAGTTGGATAATAAAAGAAAGTAATGCCTTAGTAGTATCTGGGAGGCAGGGGTTTGAATATCATTGAAGCCTGAACTTTTTCAGGCTCCTTTTCTGCAACTGTTACAACTGCAGCTTACCTGGGAGGTCAGGATCATTGCTTCACTTTTTATCCTTAACCCTTTTCACTCCCAAGATCTCAACAGTTATTCTCCTTACGGTCTGCCATACAATTCCTATTAGTTTGGAGAATTTGGTATTGGATCAACTAATTATCCCCTGATTAATATTTTTCTTTATTCTCATCACTTGTTTGCTTGATATTGTCATGATGTAGTAAGGAGAAATTCTGTTTTGGTCACTCATTTCAAGGCCGTGGTCTAGCAGTGCCTGGTGACCCCTGGAGCTTAAATTTTGCTCTTGGGCTACTCTGGAATTTTAGTTTTCATACAAAGCATAATTTTATGCTGGGCACCCTGGAATTCATGGTTTCAAAGTACTTGGCTCCATTCAATTTTCCATAGAGCACAGAATTTGAGTGGAAGGGTCAAGTTAAATGAAATTAGTTTCATTAAGAAAAATGGTTTGTAAGAAAATGTTTTCACAGATTTTATCTCGATCAAGGTTGTTCATTGACATAATAATCCCAACAACACGATGTGTAATTCATAGAATGCAGCTATATACAAGATATCTGTTGATTTAAACCGTAAATGTATCATGCACTGTGTTGCAGCCCGTGTCGTTGGTGACCCCTGGTCATTCAAGAACACTCTCTTTGAATAGGACTACTTTCAGTCTGTTACCTCATCGTGCAAAGAGGAAGCACACGTATGATCAGGTGAATTTTCTGTCTGCTCATCAACACAGTTTATTCAGAACAGAAAAGATACCCTTATTTAAACCTTTAACTCCAAAGATCTGATTGTTAATTCTCCCCTCTAGCTGCTAGACATTTCCTTGTAAATTACAGGGTTCGTACATGTCTTGAAAACTCTTAAATTTCAGGAGGCCGATTTCAAGGCCTTGAAAGTACTTGAATTCGTTTTGGTCCTTGAAAGTCCATTATTTTTTATTGAACAACATCGAAAAATATCTGCTTTTTTTTTGCACCATCGGTAAACCCAAAACATAGATGTTAACAGAAACATTTTTCTTGGTTTTGAGGTAAAATTGTCATTACAAAAAGTCCTTGAAATTTCTAAGTAGGGTCCTGGAAAGTCCTTGAAAAGTCCTTGAATCTTTGGCCTGAAAAAGTGTACGAACCCTGAAATTAGTTCTGAGAATTTGGTGGTAGATCATGATAACGACTTCTACCTGATAGTTTGAGTACAGCTCTTATCACATGTTTGTTGGATAGTGTATGGATATGATAAGGAGAAGTTTCTAGTTAGTCACTTCTGGGAGTTAAATTTCAAAGCTCAGGGCTGTCCTTTCAGATCCTTGAAAGCAACAACTAGAAAATCATGGAAGTGCACAAAAATAATCTTCTATGCCAGCTAAGAAAGACATGGGATATAAATAAAGGCTAAGGAAAGTTGTGGAAAATGAAGAAACGAATACAAAAAAAAAAAAGACTGATATATGATTGTATTTTACATTGTGTTTTGAGCTACATCAACATGTATTTCATGGTTAAAGGTCATGAAGAATATCAAAAAGGTTCGTAGAAAATGGTGGACTGACAGGGCTTTCATTAAGAGCTGGGAAACCAGAGGCAAATTGAGCGGTTGTGAGGACTGTTTTGCCCTCCTGGTTTGACCATCTGGAGGAAAGTTTATCTTATAAAAAAGTTCAGTTCAAAAAGTTTTGCCCACTGGTGAAAACCAGTTTCCCTGCTGAAAACCTCAATGAAACCCTTGTGAAATTTTGTGACTTTGAACGGAACAGACTGAGCAACAATTTGAACAACAAAATTAAGACAATGTTTGAAGCACTTTCATTATGTATTCTTTGATGACATTTCAGTTTTGAATTTTTGTCCTTTTTACTCTCTTTTGGTCCAAGGACAAGTCAAGGCTATCTCTTTCTAGCAAGAAGATAAAGAAAATGCCAGAAGTGAGTGTGGCGAGTTTTGAATAACATGACTTGTGTATAAAGTTTCTTTAGGATTGATCAACTGACAGTCAACTTATTTACTGTTACTTACTCTGAAGGAAGTCTTATGCCTTGAACACCAGCTATTCAAAAAAAAAAAAAGATTTCCTACAATTGTCAATGTGCCTGTATCAACTCTAAGTTGATTATCAAAAAAGTGCTTCTTTGATCCTAAGAAACATATCAATCACAATTTCTCAAAATTTACTGCTAGAAGTAGTCCATTTATTTTTCAACCTTAATGTTAGAAGAAGACAAGTGTTTTAATCCCCTCCCCCACCCAAAAAGAACAAACAAAAACAAAACAAAACAAAAAAAAATACCACAGCTTTTAGAGACAGATAAAGTTGCCTGAGTTGCTGTTCATTTTTTGGGTCTGTAATTCAATTTTTAGCATCTCTTTTCTAGATAACCAACCAACCACTAATAAACAAAGTCATGTCACCAAATCCTCTTCAAAGAAAACTTCTCTACAAGAAAAAAGAAGTTCAGTTTTGTTTGGGTGACTTGAAGGATTTGGCAAAAAGGAGAGCCAAAGAACCAAGGTATGATGGAACACATCTTAGACAAGTAATAAATTATGATAACATAGTATGTTGGAAAGCTTTTGTACTGCATGACTTGTGTATTTTCTTACAAAATTATCTCTTTGTAAAATAATGAAGGAACAAATGGATGTAAATTTTTTTTGATTTAATGAATGAATATTATTACATGACTCGGGCAGTCAGAGGGCCAATAACTAAAATCAACAATCAAAATGCTCTATTGCCGGTCAATATTCTCTCAGTATTGGACCGGGCACTGTCCCGAATGGTCCCGAATGATACCGCACTTGGGTCCCTTTGAACTTCAGTCGTATAATAAATCTCTTATTAACCAAGCTTGCTCGGGACCGTACTATAAGAATATCGGCCCTCGGTCTTTTTTGTACGCACTGCGCTCGGTCCATACTGTCAAGACCTCAGGCCGATATTCTCCCAGTACGGCCCTCCCGCTTGGTTAATAAGATAAATATATCGAGCATTTGCCCTTCTCTAACTATGATATTTGATAGGGGTGATCAAGTTTTCATAATTATTTAACCCTTAAGGACCCAGTATCTGATTGTTAATTCTCCCCTCTAATTGCTGCACATTTCCTTTAACAATTTTTACCTGATTAGTTTGAGTATTCTCATTACTGGTTTTCTGGATAATGTATGGGCATTCTAGGGAGAAGTTACATGTGAATCACCTCTGAGAATTGAAGGATCAACAGTTACTTATTATAAGATACTTTGAATATCTTGAATACAAATTTGAATTGTGAGCTTTTTGAAATCTAAAGCTTTTATTATTTTTTTGTTCACTCTCTTAGCTTTTTAGAAGATCATTCCAGAACAGACCATTTGATTGGTCGGCTGGATCCCTGGGGAGTTTGGCTAATCCAGAAAGGAAAGGATCTTGTTTGTGTCAATCAGTACAGGTAAAATGGTTTTCCTCCTGCTTTGTCGGAATGATAGTTATGAGCAGTCTTCCTTTTCGGCGAATTCTGTCGCGCGAGGCAGCGAGTTGGGGTGGCACGTCAACATCATATTATTTTTGCGCTGATTTTTTGTTTTTTTTGTTGTTTTTTTTTTCTTTTTTACATCGTGCGACGGATTTCGCCAAAAAAAGAGGGACTGCTTGTAGGCTAGGTAGATGTTTGTACTTCATCAATTGTTTCTTCTACTGCAGAGTACAAGAGCAGCTTCTCTTCCAACGCCTGATGGCTTGTCATTCTCTTCCGAAAGAAAGGCTTGATCATCCCATCATTTTAAATGAGAGGTACACATGTACATAGTTTATATGTTACACTGAAAAAAAGTAACCTTCAAGTGATTGTCCAGAGTACCCTGAACTGCCTCTGGCTTTGATTCACAATACTCTGATTACTTTGATCGCAAATGAAAATCTCAATGGACTACGAGGAGTACGATCTTTTTTGTGAAGTTCGTTGCGCAAATCGAAAAAAGTCAGCGAAAAACAGGAAAAATATTGATGTTGGCGCGCCGCGCAAAACTCTGGGAGCGAGATGCACGAGTTTTCGCTCGACTCTAAGAGTATTTTCGCTGATTTTTTCTACACTCGCGCGACGAACGAGAGGGAGTGCTCTCAGTTTACTTTTTCAACAATACGAAATGAAAACAAAAACTTGTTCACACGAGTTCTTGTTTGCTCCTTGTTGCTGAAGAGATATCTCCCAGCGGAAAAGAGAAAGGAACTTCTCAACTTCACATTTTCAACCATTTCCATGGAGTATCTATGTGTAGAGAACAAGATTCCACTGGTGCCTTGCAAGAGAACCTTGTTTGAATACACTCCATTTGCTCGAAGTATGATGTTTATAAAATTACGGGCCACAGTTTGCTTTTTTGTTTTAGTACTTTAGGCAAAAATTCTTTAAAACATTTATTTTCGAAACCACGTCAACTATATTGTTCAGTGATCAAATAGGTGATGCAGTTGACGAAATGATGTTTGGATTTAATTAAAAAGAACACTTCTTTTCATATTTTCTTTCTTTCAGAAGTGTTGGTGGTCTTAATTGTTGGACAACGTTGTGTAATTTGAGTGTCAATTGTAACCCACCAGACACCACAAGGTATAACGGGAAGAACACAGCGGTGAAAACTTGGGCGTACTTTAGGGGATCAATTCTGGCCGGCTGCTCGCCAATCCCGCGCAGAATTTCAAAGGAAATGTAACAAATAATCACTGTCTCGCAAAATAAGCGAAAGAAAATTGAAACGGTCACGTCAATCTGTAAAAGGAAAAAAAAAATTAAGGAAACAGAAAATACTAAAGGACACTACACGGTTTTCTAGTTGATTTACCATTTTGTTTTAAGCTTTATCGAAAAATTTAGACGCTCTTAAAATACCGTGACTAATTGGCTTTGTATGGCTGTTTGTAACTTATTCGAGGCAACTTGGTTCCGACAGCCTGAACTCACGCCATGCACTCATTATAGCGTGCGCATAGTGACCGCTGTAAAGGATGGAGGAAGAATGTGTGTCAGATCACTTTATATAGGATAGGCAGAAGAAAACAACGCGACGCGAAAGGAGACGTGTTCGAATTGGAGTGTCATTGCCTCATTTAGGAAATGCCCCTGTTTTCATTCACTCTTATTTAAAGTATAGTGTCCTAGCCCAGGGACAACAAACGATCGTGCATTGTGGTCGTTCGGAGGAGGGTAGCCCCTTGAAGGGCTGTTGTCGGGCAGGGCTCGACACTAACTGTAGCCAACTAGCCACAGTCTAGTAGAAATTCAGTTTTGACTAGTGGTTTTCGATTTCCACTCGCCAGTTTGAAATTGTTGTAACATCTAAGTTGTCACTAGCCACGTGGCTAGTAAGTTGAAAAGTTAGTGTCGAGCTTTGTTCGGTGCTGGTGAATGACTTTGTGATTACCTAATCGGAAGTATCACTGAGCCAAGTGAGGATTTGGAATCAATGTCATGTCATCAATGTATCTGAGCAACTGCGCACCTACCCCTCCCATAACCTAATATTGACCCTAAGTTGTCTTTTTAGGGAAGGGGGGAGGGGAAGGTTGCGACTAACAAACAAATGTCCAGTACAAAATCCAGTACAAAATTCAAAAGAATACATTCAAAAGAATACATTGTCTCAAGCGAGGCCAGAAAGGCTAATTTAAATTTAAACAAAAGAATATTAATCCGGCAGCCATTTATGAAAGTGGTCTATAGATCCTACATTTGTTTGTTAGTCGAGTGCGAGATAAAAATATTGGGAAACAAGGAAAGGTTCTTTGCAGCTCAACGATACAACATTCTTGTCTTTGACAGATGGATTGATGACAAACGATTGACAGCAAATGGATTCGATATCTGTTTCAAAACAAGTAAGGCTTTAGAAATAATCATCAAGAAGCATTGCACGGTACAAAAAAAGAAAAAAAAAAAAATCAGTGACGAAAAACCGTACGAGCATTTCAGCAAAGTTTCCCACCTACTGACATTTGAGATTTCATTTGATATGTCGAAAGTTCGCTCTGGTTCTGTTTTAACACAGGCGTCAGTTGTAGGAAAATTTAACGATATGGTCATTTTGTTCGTTTCCCTCTTTTCCCTTTAGTGAGTGTAAATTGAAACACTATTTCACCAATATAACGTTGTTGTGTGATTTATCCATTTGTTCCTTGATCAGTGAACTGTAAAGAAAACTCAACTTCTCTTCCTGTTTCCAGATGTTGAAAGTGGAGAGACCAGAGTGGAGTTACATGAGGTATCTACTAGCATACCCTTTTATGGAGTGCCCGATTTGGTCGAAGTTCTCGGTAAGCGAGACCTTTACACGTTCCTCTGTGCTTCGTTTATCATCGTTTGCATGTATTGTCAATAGTCAGTCACAAACCTATGACGCGTAAATTTGATGTAACCTTCTTAAGTAATGTTATGTACCTCTAGCTTAGATTCAGTTCCGAACTTGTTAATTTTTTTAGTTTTTCTGTTGTTGTTGTTGTTGTTGTTGTTATTATTGCGCTGGAGCTGAATCGGGTTTTCGCTGCAGTAACCCTTGGGTTAGTGACCAAGACACGAGTGACCGAGACATAATTTCCCCTTACAATTTTAAGACAATATCAAGCAAAAACGTAATGAGAATAAAGACAAATATCCATTAGGGATTGTTAGTTGATCCAATACCAAATTCTTTGAACTAACAGCATAAGAATTGTGTGGCAGACTATAAGGAGAATTACTAATACGATCTTGGAAATGAAAGGTAGTTCTTTCTTCCCTTCATCACTCGGAGCAATAAAGATTTATGCCCCGCCCCTCGTGTCTCGACTGGATTAGCCTACGTGTAGCTGTACCCTCCCTCCCCCCCAGGAGAAACGTTTCCCCCTTCCGTTTCTCCCGGGGGGATGGGGGAGGGTAGGCTACACTTAGGCTATGATTGGATCTCTTTAAGATTAGAAGAATGCTGGGCAAGACTACAAGTACATTTTGCCGTTCGTGTTTCCAATATCTGTGTAACCTAAATTTGGTATTTACGCATATCTTCTGTCTTCCAGAGCTTATTTGTCAAAAGGAAAGCGGTGATTCCAATTGTCTATCAGAGTGCCGACCTTTTAAAGTTATCCACTATCTCCAGGTACCGCGTTAGTGATTCAATAAAATTTTCCAAACAGGGAAATGGCGAAAACGCGATTTACTCGCGTAAGACACGGGATACTCCTAAACTATTTCCTCTTTTGTTTCTTGTTGGCGCATTGGTCTGTTCAGTAGATTTATAATGAACATTAGTTAAATTGTCTTACCGCCTTAGACCTCTTTTTTAAAATTGAAATCTATTTTCAGAGCGAAGCGGTTCGGATTGCTCGTTCGCTCAGTTCCCGGATGAACAGAAGTGAAGTGGATGAGCTACTGTCCCGGATGGAAAACGAAATTCCTCAGGATTTGAGAAAATGTGTGCAGGATCGTCCATTCTTTTTAACGATCGCGCCAATCTCAAAAGACTGAACAAGGAATACGAAAAGTTGTTGCAAGAGAGCATCCATGACAGATCTAAATAAATATCCTCCTTTAATTAGTTCCGTTGCCTCCCTTGATATTTATGTTTTCGTGTCATTATTTTAATTTAACATATGCTAGAGAGCCTATAGCCTATGTGTAACCATACCTCGGGGAGGGGGGGGGGAAGGGGGAGGGAGAGCCAACTTAGAGACTTGATTTTCGTTTTCAAACACTCTTGTTCCTCACTGTGAAACTCTTTCGAGAATTATACATCAATAATGACAGAAGGTTATTTTCAGGTCACAGAATTTTTTTGGAATAAGTAAGGCTCATTCGCTGCCTACGCCCTGCTATCTTTGTTCTGATTCCATGTCCAATCTGTGATTCTTCACACACGCTGTGTTGCAGTACTTATACGCGAGGCGCTCAAAGGGAACCTGACCCACCAGGCTTTTACTACACCACGCACAGCTGCAAAAGAATGCATATCTTTAGTTGTTTTTTTGTTGTTATTTAAAAGAACCCTTTACATACAATCTGTATCTTTCGTCGTTTTCTGTTTAAGAGAACCCATTACATACAATCTGAGTACCCGAAAGGATTGAACTTCACGATTTATTTCGCATTTCGCAGTTTATCACTGCGTTTTGAAGAACTCGTTGGTGATCTAGCCTATACAGGGCACAAATGGAGGAAGATTGTAAATTTTGAAGTTAATCGTAGTGTATCAACGGGGAGGAGTGGGGTACTCGGGTCAATTTTAGCTGGTACAGGTGAATGTGCCCCTGGCCTCCCAGAACTCCTTCCCCATCATAGACTATTCTGTGACCAATTAAAGACCCTCTCTCACTCATGTAACCACTTTTCAACCGTGAATCTTCCAATTTTATAAATCCCTTCCTACCAGAATTTTCTTATTCCCCCAAACCTGTTAAATACTCCCGGCCTCACTATAGTCAATAGTCAATCCAGCCGTTAAATGAGATTCCATCCAGCGGCAAATCTCGTTCAGCCTCTCTCTAGGAAGAAACGCCCGCCTCCCCCTCACTCGGGGGATAACAACAGAGATGTTGAGTGTGGGTGGAAGAAATGTACTTGTTCTAAGAAGCTCACCTGCTGGTTATTCCGGCTTGTTTGGCTGCCTGTTGTTGAGCGAATCTTTTCTCAGCAGCGAGGGCCCGCTACAAAGATAAAAACGTAAAATGTAATGAGCAGTGAACTAACTGATGAGCCTTTGGGTCTATCCCAGCCAACGAGTCCCTGTTTTTGTCTGACAAGAAGAGAGAAAGACCCAGAGTAACATCGATAACTTCTCAAGCCTTGAAAAGGATGTCCTAAATTTCCATCATTTTTTCTTTTAGCCCCTACCTTTTCTCGGTCACTCAAAGCTTGATACGCTCTCTTTTCTTTTTCTTCCTCTTCCTTCATCCGCTCAATAGCCTTTTGTTCCTATAAAAAATAAAAAGGACATAATCCAATACTTCATCCACACTTCACCTAAATTTCGTCTTCATGATGGTTGTTATACCATACAGGGTTGCCTTTTCCACTAGTCAACGCACTAAACCACCCCTCAGTCACGTGATTAAAAGATGTTTTCTTCGTCAAACTAGAACCTCGTCGTAAAACAGTGAATTACTTAACAAGACGAGTGATCTTGTGGGTTGCGTCTCTACCTTGGCCCTTTGTTTTTGTGCCTTTTTCTGCGCTTTCTTTCTTTCTGCATTTCGTTTCTCCTTTTCATTTTCCATTTCTGGTGTAAGTGCACTTGGGATCTAAAAAATTAAAAAAATAAATAAATAACAGAAACCTCAAAATCAAAACATACGTATCGTGTGAACATTTTCGATGGTCGTTTAACAATTAGCGAGGGACCCAACTTCTTTCTAACTGTCACATTTCCCTGATACACCGCTGTTTTCATAGTCTCCTTCGCAGCCGTCTTTCGGGATATCACGCAACGCTCCCCCGAAAAGAACCTTTCGGGGGACCGTTGCGTGACATCCCGAAAGACGGCTGCGAAGGAGACTACTGTTTTCATGGCTGCGATGCACAGTTACTCAAAACGTACCCTCAAAATTGCCTTGGATGAAGTAAGGGTAACGACAAATGTAATCGGAGTACAGCATGAAACCTAATCACGAACGAGAATGGCTGTGATGCAAAGTTACTCAAAACGTACCCTCAAAATTGCCTTGGACGCCTTTTTCAAGTAAGGGTAACAACAAGACTAATAGGAAGTACAGCATGAAACCTAATCACGAACGAGAATGGAAGGTGGGCGGGCGCACAACAACAAATGGCCTAAAAGAAAGCGGGCATTTCTCCGAATCGAAAGGTACTCGTTAAATCCCAGGCTGGGTCAGCACACGACACCATCATCTCACGTAAGTTCCTTTAAACCGGGACTATGAACAGGCACGTCATGTTACGTCACGGCGGCCATATTGGTTAACAAAACATGAAAATGGCGGCCGTACTGATGTCTCAATCAGTTCTGTAGGATGTGAACTATTCGCTTATGTAAACATTTTTTCAGAAAAAAAACATTTACAAAGCTGCTCACCACGATATCGGAAGTGCCATGTAGGAAAACTGTCGAACCCTAACCCTACGCAATTTCTCTATTCGCTTTGTACCACAGGAAAAGGGAGAAGCCTCCGGCAACTATGTGAGTTTGAAAGTCTCGTGCGCAGACTTGCTTCTTTCAAGCTTCAACAAAAGAACCACCGAGGTACCAGACCTTACACAACACATACCTGTGCTTTGACATAGTCATAACGATCTGGATAGCTAGCCATAAACCGACGGAATTCATTCCGAGTGTCTTTGTTGCCGGCGACAGCGTATGAAGTTCTCCCCTTTTCATCCCTGAGGATAAACACAGCAATTACCATCATTTTGTCGGGCTTGTGGCGCATTTGCGGGCCAGAATAGAGGTTTTGTCCGGCTAAAATGTATTTTAGGCCGCCCGCACGCTCACCTGATTGTTCAGATTGTTTTGTTGCCATGATGTTTTTCAGTTATTATTTTCTCAATGCCTTTTAAAGTGGTAATAATGGTTATACATGAAGATGAGTGCTCATCGCAGTAATGATAAGAGTAATACAGTTTATATTTTTAGACATAATTATATCCTAGGCCCTTCTCAAAGTCAATTAAATCCTCGCCTGACGGCTCGGGCTGAAATGACCCTGGGCCGGGTCTAAAACATCTTAAACCCAGATCAAGCAAAACAAAACTTATATGTAAACCTACAATGCTAACGACGGCAGAAATACGCTTCTCATGTTTAAGCTGATCTGATTCGGGTCATCCCGATACTCAGCCAATCCTTCATGATATCTTTCGTTGGTCAGCGGTGGTATGCTCACAACTATCTATCAAAATTAAATAATAACCCATCAAGGAGAAGTTACTTGTCCATCATTACAGCCACTTACTTCACAGCAGGATCAGCACCACACTCCAGCAACCGCAGCACGATTTCCGTTCGCGATGAGCGTGCTGCTACGTGAAGAAGCGTGTCACCTCCTTCGCCAAACTGTTCATTGATAACATCCGAAATCCTCGCAGACGACATTTCTCCGTTCCTCGATGGAGAACCTTCACGTTCGCTATTGATCCCTGAACTTGCCAAATCCTCGTTTACATCAGCTTCCGTGCATTTTACACCGTTAATATTTGAATCATTTTTCAAATCATCACCGGTGTGCACATATAGATCACACCTGTGTCTTTCACGAGTCTTAATTTCTTCATCCCCTTGTGATACTGAATCGTTATTTTCAAATTGTGACACACCAGACTTGGCAGTTTTGTCCATACGCTCGTCTGTCTCCTGAAGTACGCTAGTTGACTCAGTGTTTATACAACCTTCTATGTCACCTCGGGTGCTCATATCAAGAATTAAAGAAATCACTCCTATGTTTGCAGACACAATAGCACAGTAAAGCCGATTCCATAAGCGTTGCCTTGGAGAAACTGAAAGTATAAATAAATAAATAAATAAATAAAACAAAAGTTATTATCATTGTAAAAATAATCGTTTAATCAATCGCCTCTCCTGATGTATTTGGCTTTCAAAGCATTACTGAAGCGACTAGATGCACCAAGGAAAAATCTTCTACAGCAAGTAAACGACCTTAAATGTTAAGTCAAAGATTTACTCACCGAGTAAATACACAGTTAAACAGACCGATCGACACACATGATAGTAGAATAATGAACCTGGATCAGGAGGGGCGTTGGATAATGTGACGCTATAATCTTTGATCTAGCATAAGGGAATATGGTTGGCGATCATTTCCTTTATCGTCATAACCATTCTGTTTAAATCAGTAATGATACTTTTGAAAAGAAATTAGATACTATTCAATCCTGGGAATTATAGGGTCAGCCATCTGGGACATGGTACAAAAACGCCCTCAAGCTAACCTTCTGCATTTTGAAGCCCATCAATAGACTCCTTCTTGATAACCTTTGCTTTCTTCTTTTTTGTTTTCTTAGAAGCTTCTTGGAGTTTGGTCGTGGAACCTAAACCAGGCGGACCTTTATCACTGTGTTCAGGTAAAATGATTCTTTCCTGTGGATCAATTGTTACTTCATCGTTGCTGACGACCATTTGACTCGCTTGCCAAGAACGAATTTTATCATCGCCATTAACCTCTGGCAATTTTTCTTTTGGTTTATCAAGAGTCAAATTCTTCAGAACGTCTTGAAGGTCTGCATCACTGTCCTTCCCTGAATAATGACAAGCAGTGTTTGTTCCTCAAATGTTTTGAGGCAAGTGGGCAACGCCAAATTCTACGTAATTACAAGAGGAAAATAAAAGACTCACCTAATAACTGCACAGTGGATAACTCCTGATGAACTCGCTTCACTTCGTTAAATGTCGGTCTTCTAGTTACGAACGGGATCGTTCTGATACGCGCATCATCTGAAGGAGAAGTTAACAGTTGAACTCCGCTGAGCGACTAATTAACAATTATTCCACGAGCGCGCGTTGAATATGAGATGATAGATAGCCAACGAGGCGCGTAGCGCCGAGTTGGCTATAATCATCTCATATCCAACAAGCGCGAGTGGAATAATTGTTTTATTAAAAACGCCCCCAAGAAATTATTATTTTGTAAGAAGAAACTGGATTTTTTAGCTCCCTTTTGATTTTAAGCTGACGCGTACGCTTACCATATTTGTAGATTATGGTATATTGGCTCATATACCATAATGGCTAAGCCAATAAAAAGTCTTGAATTGTATTATCCAATGATCCAGTTTTTAATAATATGTATTATCCTTGGATAATGCAATTCAAGACTTTTTATTGGCTTAGCCATTATGGTATATGAGCCAATATACCATAATCTAATATCTGTACATTGTAACATCCGGTTTCTTCTAACAAAATAAAGTCGAGAAGATTTGTCTAATATCTTGGGGGCGTTTTTTTTTTGTTTTGTTTTTTTTTTAAATAAAACAATTATTCCACTCGCGCTTGTTGGATATGAGATGATTATAGCCAACTCGGCGCTACGCGCCTCGTTGGCTATCCATCATCTCATATCCAACGCGCGCTCGAGGAATAACTGTTAAATATCTCCTTACAATAATAAAAGAATATCAAGCAGATAAGTGATTTGAATAAAAATTACCAATTTGGGAATGAATAGTCGATCTAATATCAAATACTCTATCACAAGGGTTGTATCGCAAACAGTAGGCAGAATTTCTTTTTTAAGTCGCAACGTATAATAATTTTATTCAGATTGTACACAGTTTTCATAAGGCGCCTGAGGCATCTGTTTCATTCTGTTTGCTTGTTTTTCGTTTTTCGTACCGTTTTACAGGCAAGTGGACATCTTACTTTGGACCATACCTTTCTTGAAAGGTGGTTTCCTTCCTCCGAAGAACATCGCTTTGTTATAAGTTGGTGTTCGAATGAAAATGCGGTGGCACTTTTCCACGTGCTGTGACCACGCCTCGAGGAGATCCTGAACCTCCTGTTTATTGAAAATTGTTCGTTGCACAGTGATACTTGAAAATCTTACATCTTACAAAGAAATTCTGAGTTCCCATGAGGAGTCAAACCTCGCACCTTTTGATGTGGCTGATCGATGCTGCACCACTGTGCAGAAATGATTGTAACTTAAATTTGTAATTCAAGGTGACCGTTTAATAGACGCGCATAGCAAAACAATTAGATACTCAGGAAGTCGAAAGGATAACGGCATCCACTTAATAGAGGTGACCGGTTGCCGAGATCTCCATCTACATTTATTAAGTTAGTAAAATCTGTACAGACATCAAACCCGCCATGAGATTTAACTGAAAATACACATGGGAGATCAATTTAGGGGATTTGATCAGTGACCGATCATGAGGGGTACGTGTAATATAGACTGAAGTTGGAGTCATTTAAGTGACGAAAAGTCGGCTGATTTCACTGATTGATGATTACAAAACCGCGCGCGCGCAGAATCAATTACTTCTGTTTATTCGATTAGCCTTTGTGACGTCATTTAGCGAGACATCAGTCGCAAATAGTAGGAAAGGTTTGACTAGTATTTAAAACTCCAAATATGCCTCTCGTCACATTGTGGCAGGCTTTTTTTCCGCTGTGAAATCAAATTCATCATATTCTATGTCTTGTTTTCCTAATAGAGGTGTTTTTAGTAAACCGTTTTTTAGGAAAAGATGACACAGAAAATGATCCTCCAAGCGACGGGGCAGAAAAGGTATCACTCAATTTAGCACTATGAGAGTTTTCGTAATGTTTGATGATGATCCTTGGGTGGTATTTATTGTAAGGGAAAATTAGATTTCTGTCACTCTTAGCAGTTATAGGGAGAATTCAAAATCAGATCTTGGAATTTATAGGGTTAATGAAGGGTGTATGCCAAACTAACCTGTAAGAGGGCAGCTTCGTTATGCCTCCTTAAACTAGCCCCTGCAGACCTGTGCGTGAAAAAAAAAAATGTTTATTCAGCAACATAATCAATGAACATAATACCATCCATACAAAGCAATGATGGTATTGCTAAACCATTCATCCGAGGAATGTTTGCATCGTTGATTGGTACAAACCTTTTTTTTTCCTGGAAAATAAAAATACAAGCGGTTGTACATTCTAAACCCACTAGAGCTTCTCTGCCACTTGACTCTACAACTTCATATATTAGTTATCAAAACATCTTTCCTAGCACTCAGAAAGGAGGGATTTATTCATTTGGTAACACACTTGTGACAAAATTTTGTCATCTTTCTTCGGCATTCTGGTGGTCAACCTAAAATATTGCCATCAACTTTTTACTCTATCTTCAAACAGGAAGCTTATGACATCTGTTGAATTTGCCAGTGTGCAGGAACACAGGGCTATGCCCTTCCTCACCGGCCTACATGGTCTGCATGGCTCAATTGAACAAGCATCCGACCATCAAGTAAAAACCGGTTAAGGTTCAAAATCTTCACTACCTGAATTCACATAATTTAATTACTTTTTTGTCTCATGCTTGAAAAACTTTCCTTTAGCCCTTTTTATTTTTAAGATTAATCAACCATTCACTTACTTTGGTTGCTTCCCGCCTTGCTGTGAGTCTCTGGCACTCTGGGCTGTTCCTCGTTTTGCTCTGACTGTGTATCTATGGAACGTTTTGTGGGTCAAAACCTCCTTTCCTTTAAAAACCGCTCCAGCAAAATGTCCACCAGCAGTCATCAACACAACCCAGTAGCATTCCTTTGTTAAACTTGTGAATATTGACAATGTTTCTTCTGGAGTGGTTGGGATGTTCTGATTGGACAAAAAGAGGAAAGAAAAAACCATTTACACTTTAACTCCCAAGATCTGACTCTCAATTCTCCCCTCTAGCTGCTTAACATTTCCTTGTAAATTAGTAAAGAGAATTTGGTGTTACATCAAGACAACAACTTCTACCTGATAAGTTTGAGTATTCTCATTACCTTTTTTCTGGATAATGTAAGGATATTAAAGGGAGAAGTTACATGTTAATCACTTTTGGAAGTTAAAGGGTTAAAATTAATTGTAAAATATATAAGAAAGACAACTCCAAGAGGTAAAAACCTATGCCATAAATGTTGCAGGTTTAAAAGGGAATTCAGGTGAAATAATTTTAAAACAAGTTGATTTCTATTTTCCTATGTTTAATTAAGAGATATGTTAATTTAACTGGAATAAAGCAACTAAGTGAAAATACATATAAAACTTAATTTTAAAATCACTCTGTCCTAAATTCAATTGGAAAACAAAAAAAATTGTGTTATGGCGTAACCGAAGAATTACCAGTGCATGATTTTGCACGCAGTGGCAATTCTTTGGCCTTGCCAGGCCACAAACTTGGACCTCGTGTATACATGTGTACCACTGAGGATCCTGAGAAGAGAGTAGGGGATAACAAAAGGGGACCCATTTCCTCTCACAAGGCTTTTTTGGTGCATTTTTGATCTGCCATTTCTGGAGAGGCAGGGGGCAATTAGTTAGTGCAGGGGACTCTATCTCAATAGGTACAATAGGTTAAGACTTTTCCTATCATTGTGTTGTAATCTTAGGCAAGACATTTATCCCTGGTTTTGCCTCCCTCCATCCAGGAGTGTTAAAAGGCAGGAGACCATTCAAGGAAAGTTTGCTGTGCTGACTTGACTCTAACATCAGGTCACCACCATCATTGTCTGTATCACTGTCAGAACCAGAAATACTTGATACTTCACCTTAGAGGTAAAAAATAAATCAATTAAAAAAGATGTTAGCCAGCCTTACTTGATGATTCATTGTACAACAAAGGCACGTAACCCTTTCACCTCTATTTTGTATTTGTGGTATTAACACTTTAGTGTAATTTCAGAGCTGAGCAAAGAGTTTCCAGCAATCTGATTGGTTGAGCAGTTCCTTAATATATTTAACAATTATCCGCTGAAGGCAAGGTGAATATCGCCGAATAATCCCCGAGACAAAGTCGAGGGGATTATTCGACAATATTCACCGAACCTGAGGCGAATAATTGTTTTAGTATAATTTCAGAGCTGAACAACAGAGAAATTTCTAAAATCATAACATTTTAGTAACATTAATTAACATTTTATTTTTAATTAACATAAACTGTGTGGAGTGGTTTATATAGTGTCTTAGTATAATTTCAGAGCTGAGCAAAGAGTTTCCAGCAATCTGATTGGTTGAGCGGTCCCTTATATGATGCTATATAAACCACTCGACACGGTTTATATAAAATGTTAAAATAAAATGTTAATAAAGGTTACTAAAATGTTATGATTATAGAAATTTATCTGTTTTTCAGCTCTGTAATTATATACTAAAACAATTATTGGCCTCAGGTTCGTTGAATATTGTCGAATAATCCCCTCGACCTCGTCTCGGGGATTATTCAACGATATTCACCTTGCCTTCGGCGAATAATTGTTAAATATCAGATATTATGGCCACAAGAATAAAGGAAATAATATACTGCCAACTGAAGAAACATTTGAAACATTTAAATAAACTCCTTTCATCAGCACCATAGGAAATTGTAGCTCTAGAACAGTTTGGAAAAAATGCAGACAAATAACAAACTAGGGCATAAAAGATTAACAAACACTGCTGCAGATGCTTCCTTTAGAATTGCCTTGACTTAATAAGTATTCATTAATAATAAATATGTCATTAGCTATTAGATTGTGAAATTACATGTTACTGTACTATCAGTTACTAAATGAAACTTGGTTCACTTTGGAAACAGTACCAGACCCAGCAGAGAAAATGTAAAGTAATTATAGTAACATACCAGAAATAGTTTCCTCAAATGCCTCCTCTGACAGAATAGGCTTGTCCAGAAGTTTCTGTTTCAAGTTAAATCTATGCCAATCTAACTTGAAATGCTCTCTCTATAAAATAATCAGCAATTTCACAACACATCAATTCGTAGTTTGCATTAACTATTGCTTGATTCAATTTTACCACAGAGCAAAATGATTTCCTCAGTAGACTCCTGATTGAAAGATCATGGTTGAAGCCTTGCTTGAATCATTATGTTGTGATTTACAAGTGGGTTATTTGTAATGGTAATTGAACTGAGTGGAGTGCAATTTGGGCTGAAATCATACATGTGATTTCAAAATGGAACGAGCTTGCAGCGCGAGTTAGATTTGAAATCACAGGTATGATTTCAGACCAAAATTGCACGACACGAGGTTCAATTACCACTTTACTACATCCATTTTGAAATCGCCCAAATACAGGACTTGGTCAATTCAAATATTTTATTGATGCAGTACTGAGCCAGTTATTAAATAAAAGCAGAACCAGAAAGCTTTTACATCTTATTATGTATGCAAAACAGAAAGACTTTGACATCATGTGCCAAAAACTCAGTCAAGCGTAAAATGATGCGATTTAGAGCAAAAAATGGTGCGATTCATGAATAAATGGCACCAATTAGAGCCAATCAGATTACAGAGACCACCAGTGATTTCAAAATGGATTTAATAAACACTGTAACCCTTTTTAATCCCAGTTGTGATTAACATGTAACTTCTCCCTTTAACAATCAAAACATTATTCAGCAAACAGGTAATGAGAATTTTCAAACCTATCAGGTAGAAGAGTTGTTATCTTGATCTAACACCCAATTCCTGTGACTTTTTTCACAGGGAGATGAGTAATAGCTAGAGAGGAGATTAACATTCAGATCTTAGGAGTTTAAAGGGCCACCTTAAATAACTTTCATCCAGTCCGCAGAGTAAGGCAGACCTCACGAAGATCTCGCATATGCAATGTAGCTATTATGACATGCAAAGTGAACCTTTAAAAAAAAAAGTTGTGCATGCACTTGCCACACAAGTACCCCACAGACTAGATCTTCACAGTGTCTCGCCATCCAGAGATAGTTTTACATTACCAAACTGTTAGTGCTTTATGTTAGGATTGTTATCAACTGGTTCTGGTAAAGCATAGTAGTATTTAGAAATCATCTGGCATCATGAGAAATTATATCATCCTCAATTTCTCAGTCATTAGGGGGGTATTTTGCAGGCTACTAAAATGGAGTTCTTAGTAGGCTAAAATACTTGCATGCTCATCTAATTTTTCAGAATCAGTCTGTTTCATTGTCAGTTTTATTTTCTGGATGCCCTCCAAACTGATACGAATATATAGTTACAGAGTTATTTTTCTTGGGGATAGATATGTTTGGGGCTCAGTTCTCTAGGTAATTTTATCCCAAGCCCGCAGAATGACTCTGAGACTGTCCCAAAAGATATTTATGCCTACAAACAAAAATTCTATTGCTTTATTAACTGCTCAACGTATTTTTGCGCCAGATAACTGCATTTTAAAATACTGGAAAAATTTAAAATGAAAAATCAACCATAGCAATAAATAATGCAAAGCACTAATTATCTAACAATGTCAACGATGTCTTATTTTTACATCAAATCTTATCACCTGAAATTCAACAGAGTCAAAAGCAACTCGGCACACAGAACATCTCATTCCAAGTTTCTCTCCAGCACATAACTCTGTGAAACCAAAGTAAACGATAATAAACCCAAATTTTTTTGTCCCATAGTTAAATCCATAACTCAGTCTGAACAAAGTAACTTTTTAAACTTCACATTGATTGACAGGTAACTTCTCACGATATCAGTACAATGTTCTGCAAACAGGTCATGAGATTATAAAAGTTACCGACATATCATATGTATTGTGCACCAATTTCCCTTTGCCAATTCACAAGGACTTTAGAAGCTAGAAAGGAGAGTTACTGTTCAGAGATTATACCTTATCACCTAGTTGCTTCGTTCTGCTATTGACAACAGCAGTTCATCGATTCAAATCATAGAATGTTAAATTAAGAGTTCCTGCGTCAATATAGACGTTTAAGTAAAACTATTCAAACACATTTAAATATAATGTTACCATTTTTGCTATCATGCTTCTTTTCAACCACTTGCTCTTGTTTCTCATCGCTGACTCCACTTCTGAGATCTTTGCCGACAATGCGAACATTTCGTAACAAATCACTTATTGGTTCTTGGTCAAAAAGCGACACCGTGGACGACTTTGCTTTAGACGCCATTAATCTAACGTACCAAAGACTTCCTAAAGAATTCGACCCAGAGAGCAGTCGAATCGATGTGGTTTAATATCTGTCCCTTCCTTATCGAACTGTAAATAAATCTTAGAATCACTATCGCTTATGTGTCGGTCCCTCCCCCGCATTGCACCACCATCTTTCGTCACCAAAACCTATTCTTGGTGACTACACGTAAAACTGTGGCACGGTCTGATTTCTAGTCATCAACTCTTACTTGTCTTTTTTCTGCTGGTACCAACTACTCTATGATGTAGTTAGCACAACATTGTCTTTGTTTACGATCTATAACCAGAAATAATTATTACAAATTGTCAACTTCGAGCTTACTTCGCCACCATCTTGAAAAGTCCAACTTTGCTCAGTCCCAAGCCTAACCGTGAGAGGGATTGAGATGCAACCGGGGAGTACTAGTAATGAGTTTCTGAGTTGGTCGATTTTAGGAACCGGTCGAACACAATTCAACCAACCCTCAAACGACGTTACTGGCCAACACATACACATTTTTATACACCACATACCTTACATGCTAAGAATGCAGTGTAGAGAGTGAATCAAGAAATTGTTTGGTAAACTTTTTTTATAGCTGTTTTTTTTCCTCTAGGTCCTTGTTTCTCCTCAACTTTTGACGAACGCTAAGCAGAACCGTACAAACTTCAAGTTTGTCTCCAGTGCATGGATTCATCCCTTCGATGCGCTTAGTTCTCATTTATTCACAGTGAACTCTCCACTATGGTGCAAGACACATAGATATGGTTATCATTTGAATTCAGCTGTAATTAAACAAGTAAACGTTCCAAAGACGTGTATAGCGAAAGAGTTACCGGTAGATACTTAGAAAGTCAAAAGGATGATAACAGCATCTACTTGATAGAGATTATCGTTCACCGAAGTTTAATCGACAATACACAAAGGAGATGAATTTTCGAGGGACGCGTAATAAAGACTGAAGTTGGAGTCATTGTTCATCCTCGTGTGATTGGTTAATTCTGTTTGAATAACCTCGATACGTTTTAGCAGCGGAAAGTCAAGTCATTTCACTGATTAATGATTGGAAAACTGCGCGCGCGCTCGCTCCATCGATCAAATACTTAAGTCATTTGATTAGCCTCTGTGACGTCACAGTCAAAACTTTCTCACTATCTGCAACCGATGCCTTTCATCATAGTGTAGCAGGCTTTTTCCGCTGTAAGTGAAATCATACTCATCGTTTCCCATGTCATCACTTTTAGGAGGAGATGACATGCAAAATGATGAGTATGATAACATGGAAAATGATCCTTCTAGCAACGAAGAGGAACAGGTATGTTTTGGACTTCTCGCAGGTGCAAACTTCTACACAAGTCGTCCGTTTGTATAAACTTGGCCGCCTGGAATGAGACAGATTCTCACTGCAAAATTATTCTCATTTCTGTTATCCGGGTCATACGGTCTTAAAATTTTCCTAATTTTCTAAAAAAAAAAGGTAAAAAAGGCCTCCATTTCGTTCTTAAGTAAGGGATCTCAAGTATTGTTCAGATCGATTGGAAGACCTTGTTTGGTACGGGGCAAATCAATATGACAGGTTTGTTTCTTCATTCCGTACATGCAGGTGATTCAAGTGCATGACCTCGAAAGACGGGATGAAAGTAGTTGTAACACTGAGGTGTCCCGATCTACAATGCTGTGCAAAAGTAATGCAAAAGGTTATCGTAGGACGTCACGCTTTGTTCTTTCGATATATCGCCGATGTACATAATATCTCGGCGATACAGTGGAATCCCGATTTCTCGAACCCTCGGTTTCTCGAACCTCTCGATTTCTCGAAGCAAACCTTGTTTCCCTTGGATTTGCTTCACCGTTGTAATTTCACCCCCGATTTCTCGAACTCCCAATTTCTCGAACCAATTTGCGTTTCCCCTGGGGGTTCGAGAAATCGGAATTCCCCTGCATATCGTTCATTTTAGCGACACCTCATGTAGCGTTTGCAGCAACCAAAATATCTAGATTCTCAAGTTCTAAGGGGCGTCACTCCAAGACGCGGTTAACGAGGTGTTTGGCGACTATTTTACAGATCGAGATAACAAACCAAAGTTGACTTTTTGCACGAATCTTTATCCTTGAAAGGCAATCGACCACAATCCACAATCTACGATGAAAATCATGATCAATCTCACAATCAATCTATCGATCCGGTAAACTGAAACAACTACAACGAAGCTGTATCAATCTAAATAATTGTCGCAGAATACATAATCAAAGAATCGCGAGTAAAAAACTGGGCCTTATTGCCGATAACGAAATTAAAATGACAATGAATAAATAAACCAGTACAAAAGTCTCAATACAAAGTACAAGAATTGTGGTGGCTGGTAAACAGCCCATTGTTCTTATCTAAAATGGTGGGCGTTCACTTGCATTTGGTACAATTTTGACCTTTAAATCTTAAATAAATCGAGAATACGACAATATAACGGAATATCTGTTCGTACAGTGGGATCCCGATTTCTCGAACCCTCGGTTTCTCCAACCTTCTGATACCTCCGGAACCAAGCCTTGTTTCCTTGGATTTGCTTAACTTGTAATTTCACCCCCGATTTGTCGAACTCCCGATTTCTTGAACCAATTTGCGTTTCCCCTGGAGGTTCGAACCTCGCAGATTTCCCATGTAAATTGTCGCCCAACACTAAAAAAACAAGGCTAGAAAAACAAAGTTACAAAGGTACTCACATATCGGTCCCGCTTGTGCCACAGGTTGATAAAACGAAAGGGCGAAAGTTTATCAAGGCAACTCAAAACTTACGAAGAACTGATTAAAGGGTCATTTACAATATAAAGTCAGCGGAAGTCCTTACCAGGGCTAAATGGGACTCTCTAAGAACTTTTTATAAACAATCTGTCCTGAAATTCATTATAAGATATGCCACAACGATTTACCATCCTGTATGACAGCACATATTGTGAAATCGCAAACCTCATATAATTTAAGGAACAGTCTTGTTTAAACCAAGTCCTGTAATCAAGTTTAATGTCTTTGCGTGGGGCATGGTTGCCCATATTGCCCGAGCCAGAGGCTCATATAATCGCAAGACAACACCCACCCATCCCACCCCGGGGGAGGACATCCATCACACAGTAATCTCGTGCGTGGGAAATTAACGTCTCCTACCCCTAACCCTGCAGGAGACGGGACCTCCATTTATTCGTCCCTATCCGAGAAGACTAGAATATCTAAACCATTTCTTGATGTTATAGAAAGGCAGCATATTCTTCTCAATTATTTTAAGACCTTGAGTGTTGGTCCGGCCGGGGCTCGAACCCTCGACCTCCCGCACATCAGTCCAGCGCTCTATCCATTGAGCTAACCGGGAGGCGGTTAGCTCAATGGATAGAGCTAACCGCCTCCCGCCTTATCATCGTGATCATCCTTGTTCTCAGCAGCGTCCTCATCATCCTTTTATCTATTTATTTCCCCTTTACTTCCTCTTTATTTCCTCTTTACTTTCTCTTTATTTCCTCTTTACTTCCTCTTTATTTCCTCTTTA